GCCCGTAAAATCCCAGCGCTTTCCCAGGTGCGACGAGAATGCTGGTTCAACACATTTAACACAGTGTCTTTATAGGTGAGGTGAGGTGAGGTGAGGGAGGTGAGGTGAGGTTAGGTGAGGTGAGGTGAGGTGAGGTGAGGTGAGGTGAGGTGAGGTGAGGTGAGGTGAGGTGAGGTGAGGTGAGGTGAGGTGAGGTGAGGTGAGGTGAAATTGGATTTAACGTCGTGCTTGAGAATATTTCGCTCATATGACGACGGGCATGCGGGTGTATGTGTATGTGCGGCTGCTTGTACTAGCCCAGACTTCAGCTGGTTTTATAGTGCTAGGCCACTGAGATACCATGCCGCAGTGAAGCATGAATATCCCACTCAGACACATTATACTGACTCCGAGCCGACCAGTCCTTGTTGTACCCATTAATGCCGAGCACCAGGCAGGGACCAACAAGTACCATATTTTAACGTTTTTTGGTATGACGCGGTGGTGGATCGAACCCGCGATGCTTCTTTATAGGTCTAATATATATCTTGTTAGCTCTAATTTACGTTATAAAATACCACGTTGTCTCTACGACTAAAGGTCTCGAGCTTATCCTGAGTCTCAGCTGTTTTTCTTATCTTGATCCTTCACCTTATCGAATTTCTTTGATAAAGTATCAATATCTGAAGGACTAATTCCTGTTCCTCCTCAAGGATACCAACACGATTCTGTAGCCTTCTAAATTTCACATTGATCTCTTTCTCCTTTCAAAACAGTCATGTCATCTTGCATAGATCTACGAAAATCTCAAATTCCATCCACAAGAGTTTTTTTGGGCATCAATCGGATCTTGTTGTGTGACATCATCAGATCCAGGATTTGACTCAATGTCGTTCGAGAGAATCAGTTGGAATCAAACCACAACACCCGCAGATAGATTGCAGATGATGTAGTCTGGACCTGACAATCAGCTGACTGACATCTTGCACATCGATCTACGTAATTGGGATACGATGCCATGCGTCAACCAAGTCAGCGAGGAATGTGGACAATTTTTATGGATATACAACTTTTTTATTCTGTTTAATGAACGTTGCGACATAAATTATAATGTCGTTTTCATTAGAAGCTATGTCGAAACGTCGCCTTTACAGAACAAAGAAGTTGTATATCCATAAAAATAGTCCTCATTCTTCATCTCCTCAACTTCTAGAATGCCAATCAAAGAAGTCAAGTCAGCGAGCCCGACCACCGGATCTCGTTTATCGACAAGCATGAGTTGTTAAAGATAACTTCTAATCTGGACAATTATAACCATTTGTGAAAGCGAATTAAGCATATCATAATGAGACATCATAGAATGCTTTTGTACACATCATACCAATATATCATGGCAGTGTTTAAAGAAAAAGGACAAATGAGTCGATAACACAGATGTATCCACTTAGTGTGCACTGAGTAACTGTTGTCAGCTGCTTACTCAGCTAATTTGTCATTGTGTAATTTCAATTAAGCAGGTGCTGTTTCCAGTGGGATGTCCATAGGAACGTCCCCCACTGTTACAGAAATGCACCATGACGATACATAACCTTAAATAGCACATGTCTCTATGTATGTTGTAGAGTATATAGAAATATACGTACTCACATACTAAAAAACTATATCCCACAGTTTTCAAAGACAAAGGGACGCTTTCCCAGTTTGTTTTATGTTACATTTAATCTTATCGTCTGTTGTTACTTAGCAACCCGTGAAGATCCGGGTTAGAATTGATCTTCAGTAACCCATGCTTGTCGTAAGAGGTGACTAACGGGATCGGGTGGTCAGACTCACTGACCTGGTTGACATATGTCATCGGTTCCCCACTGCATGCTGTTGATCACTGGATTGTCTGGTCCAAACTCTATTATTAACAGCCCGCCGCCATATAGCTGGAATATTGCTGTGTGCGGCGTAAACCTAAACTCATTCACTCACGGTACTTAATATGGGTTTCAGGTGAACTCTTTTTCAGTGTGACGGTTTGTATTATGCGCCTGTCGTCCAATAGGCTAATGGATACAGCCACATCAGGTTTTACTCCTTTAATTTTGTTGTAAACGTCGGTTATAATACACAATATATGATGTAAAATTGGTCGCTTTTGTTTGTATACTCACGAAAAAATGTAACCGTGCTTCATTTGAGTGAGTGAGTTTAGTTCAACAATAGAACTAATGGACGTGACAAACCAGTGATCAGCAGCATGAGCATTGATCTCAGTGACGCAATTGGGATACGACATTTCTGTTTCGCCAAGAAGAATCAGTCAAAAAATACAAAACACAAGTTTTGGAACACAAGTGGATGAGTAAAGTAATTGAGTGTTTTTGCCCAAAATATAATGCTCAAAGTAATGATAATAATAATAACCAGATGTTGTTGTGAAAGACGCTTTCGCCCACTTGTTTGTGTGGAATGTGGCCATTGGGACGCAATGGCTGGCCGTTATGATCCTATTGCTATTGTTGTGGGGCGACATGTGTTCGTGAGTGTGAATTGATACGACTATTTCACGGCACATTGAGTAATGTATCAACACAAGAGATGAATGATTGACGTGCGATCAATTCACACGCGTCATATCTGACTTTATCCGTAACCTATATATCAGCCAATGAATACTGTTATGTTAAGTATCAGCTCCTAAAATATTTCTCAATTGTTATATTTCTGCCTGTAATGAGATTGGGTTGCCTATACAATGGATGGATTCGTCCAGGAAATCAATATTCATGCACCTTTTCGAAATTACAGAAATTATTAAAAAATTTTCGACTGTTTATGATTCCTGTAAGATTTTTTTTCTCTCCCAATCACTTTCTCTCTTTGTTATGTTTAACATACCTTGAATACAGCATGTATGTACGCCACTTTCCTCTTCTTAAGGCCTTTCCAAATTGTTTTTAAATGCATGAGCTTACATTCGGAGTGCGTCAGGACCGTCCTACTTGCAGAAACCACGTTGTTTAAACTCATCTGTTCGGATTTAGTCGGAGTGACAATTATAAATTTAGTACAAATATCCAGCTGATTGTGGCAAATGGAGACTTCCTTCAAACGTAAAAATGTTAATTATTTCATATCTTCATTTCCTGAATCTGTATACCTGATACAGACATATCTATATAAGGATGTACTCCTATAAGAGAGGATACGATCTAAATTCAGTGTTTGTTTGGGAAAGGCAATGAAACCAAATGTGAAATCCTGAAATAATTAAAACTGTCCATGAATGTATTGCTATATTTGAGAGATTCGTCAGTTGTTTGTTAATCTGTAACGGTCATGGTAATCTCATAATCTCATAACTAAGACCCAGTAATAAAGTTACCGGTCAAAAAAAAAGATTGGAATTTCTCACACATGCACACGCACACGCACGCGCGCGCGCAAACACACACACACACACACACACACACACACACACACACGTTACACAGGAACCTGTGAGGTCATAATGCGTACAGCAACAATAGCATTGTATCATGTACACACAATCATGTTTTTCCATTCAATTTTGGCACATATTTATGAATAAAATATGATTCTTTCAAGAGTAAAACATTATCATTGCCATAGTTGAGTTTGTATGTATCGGAATAACCTTGAACTTGCCATTACCACTTTTATCTAAGTAAAGTGTCCACTGAGAGGAATAGTGTGATTTCGGGGTCGATAAATGTGGGATCGATGTAGGTTCATTCTTCTTTTCAATTTTTGTTCAGTTTTCCCGATATACTTCTGATCCAGAACATGTAATGACATAAGTAGCATTTCTAGTGTCACAATTAATGTCACAATTGTTTAACAACAAATATCTCACTGGGTGTAATGTTAATAGAAATTCCTTCAATTATACTTGCACAAATATGACAACGCTAATCTCCACATATAGAGACATTTAACATCAACTGAGTCAAACTTAGATACCGTTAATATTTGGCGTAGATTGTTAGGTTGCTTACGTCTGTTAACAAAATTTGATTGACTCGAAATCTTTTTCTTGTTTTGACTTGGACTTAAAACAGAAAGGTAGCGTTTGTACGTATACCTTCCCATGTAAATCAAAACTGCCTGCAAACTATCGAGAAATAAATTTCAAGGAATATGCAATAAAAAACGATAAAACAGCCCTTAAAAACCATCATTCATTAGTTGAACTGGTTGGAATTTAAAACTAACATTTTGTCTGGATTACCTAATAACGACATTATTAATTAAATGTCATTGTATATTTGGTATGAATAGATCATATTCTGGAAAGTTATTTCTATGAGATCATTATTTGTACATGCAGACCGTTATTGTCTCTGTCCTGTGAAAACTAGAGCTAATTTGGATAGCTATTAATCGTCTTCACACACTGGAATTTATGGAATGCTGGAAGGAACATTATCGCACTGTCTCGCTGTGGTTAGCCCATTTTGCTTGATTTTGTTAGAACGACAACGGGAATATGAAACAAAGCGACTTTGTCCCTGAATCTAAATTAGCACACGCGTTGTTGTCTTGACAAACGAGGTCTCGTGCAGCAAAATCAATATTAAATATATATTGCATTTAGTCTATGACTTTTCCCGAGTTTAATAAATGTAATCTTAATGAGACGACAAAGGCCACACTGTATACCAAAGCGTCCTAGTACAGGGAGGTTGTATAGTCAATCCCATTTAACCTTTAATCGATTAATTTTATTAATCGATGACACACTCAAGTAAGTTTTGATAAAGCTCAAGGACAAATTAACGCCATTATGGGGCCACGTGGCATAAGATGCCAATTATTTGCCGTTTACGAACACCGCCTTGTATACCACAAAATCATTTAATGGGTTAGGATTTGGGTAAGGTCAAATACTTCCGGAGCGTTCGCCCACAGTAACACCTGCAGACGCTGGTTTGTGTGGGGTTATTCAACGGAATTGATTAGGTATAAATATAACGGTTTGGGAGTAGACTTTCATTGGTTCACTTATCTCGGCGATTGGAGACATCGGAAAAAAGTGTTCCTCGTCTCAACAAGGTAGGCTGGACAAGCGAGTGTGTGCCTGCGTGTCTGATTCTTTCAGTGCCTGTGTGTCTTGTGTATGTTACCTGTGTGTCTTTCAGTGTGTGTCGAGGTTACTATTCTGACTAGTAACCATTAACTAAACACGATTAACTATTGTATCTGGCAGTTTATGTCCGAAGGGTTTGAGGCAATGGAGTAGCCTAATGGTTAAAACGTTCGCTCGTCATGCTGAAGGCCCGGGTTCGATTCCCTACATGGGTAAAATGTGTGATGGCCATTTCTGGTGTCGTGATATTGCTGGAACATTGCTAAAAGCGGTGTAAACCGATATTCACACACTTACTGACTGAGTCTTTGGTTGAGTGAGTTCATTTGACTAGGTTTTGGTGTATTTGACCATCTGACCCTCTTCATGTGGCTGTTTCTGACAACTTGTCAATCTGATCCTTGAATGTGTCAGTTCTATTGCACGATTGCACGAGCATATATCTTAGACTGCTTGCCTAACCGTGAGCTTTGTTTCCGTGTGACTCTGACAGAGTATGGCTCTGGTTGCCGTACTCCCCTTCTCCCTCTCTCTCTCTCTCTCTCTCTCTCTCTCTCTCTCTCTCTCTCTCTCTCTCTCTCTCTCTCTGTGTCTCTCTGACTGTCGTTTAGAATGCCAGCCTAGCCCTCCCCCCTCTCTCTCTTTGACTTCTCCATTTCTCTCTCTCTCTTTTTTTTCTCTCTCTCTCTCTCTGTCTCCCTCTCTCTCTGCCTATTTGACTTTTAAAAGGGAAGCTCGAACACATTCCATTTTCTGTTTTAATAATTCTTCAGTAGATGTTAGAACAGTCCAATCAGCTCGGGACTTGGAAATTAATACATGTATATAATACAAAACAATGTACTCATAACGATAGACATATTTTAGAATGAATGCTTGGTTTGAAATATTCTCCTACGACATGCCCATCTTGGTTAATGTCATCTCGCCTTGTTAACGACGAAATATCTTCAAATCGATGGCCTCTTTAACAAAGTCGTCAAAGGTGTGGACTCAAATACTCCCGCATCTATAGCACACCTCTTAACTCGTCAATAAGTGGATATTTATAGTTCATTGTTGTCAATGTGAATGTGAATGACAAATAAATCTATTTGCCATAACCACTTGCTATAGGTGCTGAAGAGCTGTTGTCTGTTCCGAATCCCATAAGCTTTACACCGTAACAGTAAAAGGGAGTGTCGTCTATTAAACATCTGTTTATCTGGTCCAGTCAATTTACAATGACATGTCACCGTGTTCTCAACACCAATCGATTACAAGTTGTGTACTGAACAGTTCGAGTTTCCTCTCATATTAAGAACATTGTATGGGAGGGAATTCTAAGGTTTGTTCGATTTGGTAGACAGATGCAGAAAACAATAATTAATCGAACATTCAAACGCTGTAACTTTTATGATAGTATACTTAAAAAGGTTTAAGACGATGACAAATAAATGCAGTATTACGCAATGTGAAACTATTTACATTATTTTAAGTCAAAATGTTTCAGTTTCATATGTGGTGAGTTTCTTGAATATTCATTTGATATACCAGGTCTCCAATACCTCTTTGTTTTTCAGGTAACCATGTATCACACGTATCTGTCTGTAGCGGCCACCTGTCTAATCTGGGCGGCGGTAGAAAGCACCGTGGGACCCCCAATTGCCGTTCCAGGAACGTACTCATGTGAGTCTTTAAAACGAAGTGAACCACTCCGTCTTATGCCGTGGGTTAAAACTGGCTTCAGGGGCGTGTGGCGGAAACGACAATACGAATACATTCGTCACCACTCGCATGTTTAGTGAGTGAGTTGGGAAACAAGCAGACTTGGACCTGACAGTAACTGTTATCATTCGACTTGGCCATGATGTTTAGTTAGGAGTAAGCGTCATGGTATATGTGGCCGTATATATGTAAATTTAATAATTTTTCTATGTTAGATATATCTATTTCTACAGCGGAACAAACAACGAAACTCACGTAATGTAAGAGGCAAGGACTAAATAACAATGTGTAAAATGATAACATTCAAATATATCAAATCCATGACTGTATTAAACTCATTTACATGAAAATACAAGACAGGGTATTCGATAGTTTCATCTGAGATATTAGAAGTTTCAAAACTATGAGATATTCTTTGCAGACTCCTTTAAGGCCATTATACTACGACCAGATCTGGTCTATGTTTGACTAGTGAAATTGGTCTTCAGCAACCAATGCTTGTCGTAAGAGGCAACTGACGGGATCGGGTGGTCAGGCTCGCTGGCTTGGCCGGTACAAGTTATCGTATCTCAATTGCGTAGATCGATGCTCATGATGGGGGTTGACTGGTCCTCACTTGATTATTTACGGACCGTTGTTATATAGCTGGAAATTTGTTGAGGTAAACAAACAAACAAACAAACAAACTGTCTGTGAGGTTACGTCTGGTAAACTATTTTCTAATCCGTCAACCAGAATCAATTTTCAGGTTGATATAAAAAAAATCATTACAGATGAAGCTGAATCACATAACAAAAAGGAACATTTTGGCCTTAGAAACCCACTCACACTCTTCAGGCTCTTTGAAGGTTTACATGATAGGTCAAGAACATGTATACTGAAAATAATACACATAAAGGTATTTTATCAGAGTAAATCTTTGTCTTAACAAAATTTGGCATTCTCTGTATCTTCAGATACTGTCGCCTACACTATTGCGAACGGAGGTTGTCAGGTGGGCGGTTCCCACCATGCCGTCGGAGAAGTCTTCACAAACACTGACTCAGGAACGTGTATCAAGTACCGCTGTGAGGCTAACGCCAGTCGAGGCTGGCAAAGTCGTCGTGGATTTAGCTCAGTCGGGTAAGACATAATTACTAAGGTTTTCCATGGAGGCGAAGGGGTAGCCTGGTGGTTAGAGCGGTCCCTTGTCACGCCATTGAAAACTCTGGGTAACGTTCCACAAAGCGATCGTAGCGCTAAGGTGATCGTAACTCCCATATTTTAACATAGAATTACGACAGTCGTAGCGCTAAGATGATCGTAACTCCCATACTTTAACATAGACTTACGACAGTCGTAGCGCTAAGATGATCGTAACTCCCATACTTTAACATAGAATTACGACAGTCGTGGCGCTAAGATGATCGTAACTCCCATACTTTAACATAGACTTACGACAGTCGTAGCGCTAAGATGATCGTAACTCCCATACTTTAACATAGACTTACGACAGTCGTAGCGCTAAGATGATCGTAACTCCCATACTTTAACATAGACTTACGACTGCGCTACGATCGCGTTGTGGAACGGTCCCTGGTTCCCCACGTTCCCCATTTCTTGTAAATAAATAAGCTTCGGGGATGTGAGTGACGTGCAGTTTCTTCAAAAGGAACATGTTCTGAAAGTAATGCATCACTGGGAAATTAGAATGTTAAACATGATTTTCATAGAAACAGGGATGATCTCTGTGATCAGACTCTAGGCTGAATAACTGAAAACATTTTGGAGAAGGTTGGATGGTATTTTGTGATCAAATAATTAAAGACTGTATATTTGACAGGATGTCAGGACGAATCCCACTGCCGGTCTGCTGGAGAATTTACATCCGTCTGTGATAACAGGTTCAGTTGTGCACTAGCCGACGTTTCAGTTGCCGGGTCAAATGAGGTCAAAGTTCAGAAGACTGTAACGACTGTTGAAGAAAGTAAGTATATACATGAGAGTGACTGGTTTGACGTAACATCTAATTTTTAGTATGCAACCACACGACTGTGCAACCACACGAATGCATATTTATGTGAATTATCAGTAACTCGACCAATACGATACCAGTATTCATTTAATTTATGCATAAATATGCAGTGCGCCAGTAGGTTATCAAGGTACCTTATAATTTGGGGGTCATAATCACGTGTCACCAAAAGCCTAATGCCTGGCGAAGACTCGTTGACGTTGTGTTTAAGTATCCTTCAGAAACATGCATCCCTAAACATTTGATTTACTTTCATTATTTTTAATGAAGCGTGTAGTAAGTTTCACAAAAAAGTCCCACTTGCGGGCATATAATTTGCATGTCTTATTTGTATATTTATGTCGGGGCGGTTAAAGCGTTCGCTCGTCAAGCCGAAGACTCGGATTCGATTCCCCACATGGGTACGATGTGTAAAGCCATTTCTGGTATCCCCCGCAGTGATATTGCTGGAATATAGCTGAAAGCGGCGTAAACCAAAACTCAATGATCTGTAAACTTAAGTAATTTTGGTATACATGTTTTTATGTCGTAAACTTATGTCACGGATAAATGCTTTAGTATACTACTCAAAATAACTTTAAGGACGATTTTGAATAGTTACCACGACAGACTATGGCCGCTTGGAAGATAGGTGTTGCTTAACTTCGTTTGAGTAATATATACTATTTATAAGACCACAACTTCATACATAATCTAGGGGAGGTGGGGTAGCCTAGTGGTTAAAGAGTTTGCTCGTCATGCCAAGGACCCGAGTTCGATTCCCCACATGGGTATAATGTGTGAAGCCCATTTCTGGTGTCCCCCGCCGTGATATTGCTGGAATATTGCTAAAAGCGGCGTAAAACTAAACTCACTCACTCATATCATGATATATCTTTTACAGAGGGATGCCAAGTACTGGGTGAGTGTCGCCGACCTATGCAGAAGATTAAGATGGGCATCATGAAGTGTCACTGCAGGGGAGCCGGTCACACCGAGGAGTGTACATTCTAGTGCTCTTCTCGCTGCAGTCGATCTATATCGCCCATTTAGGTCGGCTCGAGAAAACGCTCCTTTTGCAAAATATACGAAAGAAACATCACAAGAACTATTGCAATTTCTTAGTTCCTTACTCGTGAAACCTGAATATTTCCCACGTTCGTTGTAACGACTCGTTCTACCTCTTTAGGGAGTGTGGGTAGTCAAAACTTACAGAACTGAGTATAATCATCAGAATACGTTTCCATGGTTTCGTCACAAGGAAATACGAAACTACCGATTCCTGGTGTCTGATCATCGTCCTATCGATACAAAATGATGTAGTTTCATGACCAGCCCTATACACTTGTGTTTGGAAAGAGAAACATTATCGTCAAACTGTTATGTCTTGTTAAATAAATACTTAAAAACCAATTTGTTTATCATTTGCTTGTTGTTGTAATCTGTCTCTGTATTAATACAAGTGTTATTGGATAATGAGTGAGTGAGTGAATGAGTGGGTGAGTGAGTGAGTGAGTGAGTGAGAGCCCGTATGAAACCAATGAAAACATTCGGGCTGCCTATTTTACATTAAGTTTAAGTAACATAGCGATGTAACACGTCAGGGCTTGCAGTTATATAGTCTATATTGTAACCGAAGGTATGCTACCTCTCTATCGAACGTATTACCTGGTTACAACCATGTTGATAAACAAAATATATAAACGTTTCTACCAGAACGAGTTACCAGCACAATGAACAAACCCAGTTGAATTTCTTCTAAAACAGTAGTCTCATTTGTGTACATGGCTAACAAAGAATGCATGTCTTGTGATACGAGTGTATCATTAGACGATCTGAGCGACAGGCAGTCCTCCAGGGACTAATGCCAACTTATGGTTGAATATGACGAAACAATAAGGCCTCCATGTTTATTACTGTTGATTGGTGCAATATTCGAGTTAACACGTACATGATAATATATGTACTTAACAGGCCATGATTAACGGGAATCGTTGTAAAGTAAAGAAATGGGTCATTTGAAATGAAAAGTGAAATTGTTCTCTTTTGTTAATATATATTGCATGTAATAAAAGTATTTGTCGAGTGAGTGAGTGGACAATGTATTAACTGCTGAAACAATAGATACGCCGAAGTACTTGTGGATGGAGCCAGTGTCTCTCTCCAGTGTTTTACCTATACTCCAGCTGTACGCGAGAACTTGTTAGCGGGGGCATGAATACACCAATGTGACCATTTACCAGTATGACCTGGGGGCAAAGTCTTCGATGCCCTGAGGGGCGGTGGGATAGCCTAGTGGTTAAAGCGTTGGCTCGTCACGCCGAAGACCCGGGTTCGAATCCGCGCATGGGTACAATGTGTGAAGCCCATTTCTGGTGTTCCCCGCCGTGATGTTGCTGGAATATTGCTAAAAGCGGCGTAAAACCAAACTCAGTCAGTCAGTTCGATGCCCTGAGCTAGACCTTGCCCACAGTTACATAACCATGTCGGACTCTGCAAGAATTCTTCAGTTTACGATTATTATGTTTATTATTATTATTTTGTGCACCTATTTTTGGACTTATAACAGCTGAAAGAAACTGTCATTCTAATTACCTATTCATGAAACAAAATCCTATTTGCTGTATTGAAACCGTGTTTAGAAGTATACATTTCGAAATATAAGGTGAAGAGCTGGTAATAATTACCATAGAATGTTTTTAACAAATCCTGATCACCTTTATAATTGTTTTAAACAGGTTATGGTATTTAGAAAGCAGAAACTTTCGAGTGCCTCGGTAATGTTAGGTACTGTTGGAATTAAACAGAATGAGTGAGTGAGTTTAGTTTTACGCCGCACTCAGCAATATTCCAGCTATATGGCGGCGGTCTGTAAATAATCGAGTCTGGGCCAGACAATCCAGTGATCAATAGCATGAGCATCGATCTGCGCAATTTTGAACCGATGACATGTGTCAACCAAGCCAGCGATCCTGACCACCCGATCCCGTTAGTCGCCTCTTACGACAAGCATGGGTTAAGTAGTTCTGGGGCGGTGGGGTAGCCTAGTGGCTAAAGCGTTGGCTCGTCATGCCGAAGACTCGGGTTCGAATCCTCACATGGGTACAATGTGTGAAGCCCATTTCTGGTGTCCCCCGTCGAGATGTTGCTGGAATATTGCTAAAATCGGCGTAAAACCAAAACTCAGTCAGTCAGTCAGTTAAGTAGTAAGGGAGGTAGCTCTAAATGACTTAATGGAAACGTGACAATGACCATTTTGCTGTTAATGAAATCATACCATTCAGATATTCCGATTCCTGACATTTCCAGTAGATGAATGTTCTAAACACGGTAAAATGTTAACATGTAACTGGAAAACATGAGTCTGTGAGTGATTTGAGTGATTTGTGATTTTTGTAATTTTGGCTTTGGATCAGCCATGTTAAAAAGATATCTCGAAAGGTAAACAGATCAAGTGATCTGATACAAGTAATTTGTAGGCGAAGTTAGAAAGCTAAATACACATGCCTTGAAAAGCTTAACGTACACAAACGCCAGGCAGAAAACAGCACATTATTCAGCTAACAGCTATTATCTAACAGTGAGTCTATCACAGGTGGTACAGGGCTGTACTTAGTCCCCGAATATATAAAATCTTGATAGTAACAAATCAATGCAACCCATTTATATTGAAAAGGAACCCAAGTGAGATGGGGGATTCAGACCTGAGGAAATCTGGAATGGCTTCGTTCAGGGCTTCAGCATTGCAGGGATGGCTAGGCAGTAGGGAATATAATGTGGTTCAGGGACTGACTGACTGACTGAGTTTGGTTTTACGCCGCTTTTAGCAATATTCCAGCAACATCACGGCGGGGGACACCAGAAATAGGCTTCACACATTGTACCCATGTGGGAATTCGAACCCGGGACTTCGGCGTGACGAGCCAACGCCTTAACCTTTAGGCTACCCCACCGCCCCGGTTCAGGGACTGTGAGACAGACTTGACTGTACCTGTAGACCATGCATGACACGCACACAAGCACTTAAAATTTTCTCACAGTTAGTTTACATGTATGCAAGTGTGTGTGTAGTTTAAACAATACGTATTCTTGTACCACTAGTATTGTACAGTCGGACTGAAAAACAGTGTTTCCCTATATTAATATCTCTTCCCAAACTAATACATATTACAACTGTCCTCCAAAGATTAGATAATGCAGTGTTCAAGTTGATGCATCCCAGTCTAATACGACAATGTGAATTTGGTTATTTCTCAATCCATATTTCTGCACAATTTCGTGTCCACTAGGCTGTCCCACCGCCCAAAATTGGTCCATACAGCAATACATATGTGAGTGGAATTTATAAGTGTAACAGTTAAAATGTTATCTTGTTGTACACGTGTTGAGAGGTAGTGGCTTTGTTTATCACTTTTAAAAAGTGGACGCTAACATACATAAATAGGCTTGGGTTAAAAACTGGTTCTTAACAAGCAGCAAAAAAAGCCCATGACTTTGGAACCGATTGTTGACTTTGTGAATAGGCTAGGATTTAGAAGTGGTTACTAGCACTCAATGATTAGGCTGGTATACAGAAGTGGATACTTGCACTTAATATATGTGGTGTCCATTGGTGTGTAATATTACAGCCAAAGAAGCATCATTTGTTAACATTTTCAGCCACCATTTCTCATAATTTTCTTAATACACTACATCTTTTGCACCAAGCATGTTTTTATTTAAATATAATGTAAAATGTAAAGAAATTCAAATAATACCATATCAATGTGTCTCACTTTAATATAAGTTTAACTAATCTTACAAACTGAGCAATTCCTAATCATGACCATTTTGTTGATACAAGCAATGGCTCAGCACACATAATATGAAAAATGTAAAGAAATTGAAATAATACCATACCAATGTGTCTCACTTTAATACAAAATTTACGAATCTCACTAATTGAGCATTTTGTTGATACAGACTATATGGCTCATCTGGACATGCGTTATCAAAACACTAACACTGGTCAGCCAGATCCAACTCTGGCTATGTGAGAGACCTGACATAATCTGGCTAAGTGAGAGGACACCCTTACATGTCATGTTCAAGGTAATCACGGGTAGGTGGTTGTTCAAGGTGCCGAACAAAGACGTGTTTAAACGTGGAATGGAAGCAAACCAGGATCAGATGGTTCGAATCTGAGTGTATCCTTAAAAATAATTCTTGGTCCACCGACATGTAACAGCATAACCTGCCCGTCGTTACGGACAGGTGAATAATTAAACTACCTCTTCTTGGATGCTAATGATAATAAGAAAATCACGGCACCGGTGATATATCACATGCATAAATGTTGCAACTCACTGACAACTATAACAGTCTCAGTGAGGAATATGCCCCGACAAATGACTATAACGGAAGGAAGCGTCTGTAAAATAATACTAGATTCACAACGCGAGCCACTTCCCGTGCTCTCATGATTCACAGAAGGGTACATTCTTGTCATGTGTGAGTGAGTGAGTTAAGCTTTACTCCGCTTTTAGCAACATTCCAGCAATATGACAGCGGGAAACACCAGAAATGCTCACGATTCAGAGGTGAGGTGAGGTGAGGTGAGGTGAGGTGAGGCGAATGGAATATATATCCTAAAAGTACCAGACCTTTTTGGAAACGAATAAAAGTAATCAGGCGCAGGGACAATTAAATTTTGATAAACTAATCATAACTTATCTAACGATCGGCATATCCCATTAGACTGTCTGAAAAGTAGATGATTGCACTAAGTAACAATGCTTCCAGTCACACTGGGTATGCACGTCATATTTTCATACACTTGCGTATTTCGATTTCTAACCAAATTCACATTTGTACCGAAACGCTATTAAATTGCTTAAAAACAATATTTACTGATTTTCCTTATCACGTCAATCGTTGGTTCAGGTTACATTAAAAGGAACAAAAGTGGAATGAAAAATCCACTTTAAACGCTAAACCGGAGACGGCGGGGAAAATATAATCGGGCTATTGTGTGAAGTCTGTGCTGTGAAACTGGATGTATCTGATCTGTCTGGAAGAGAGAAATTATTCACATTGTGTGCCATGTAAATCATTAACTGATTCGCGATAAGTGACGGAAATAGATAGACCGTACCATGGTTAACACAATATCCCAAAACTGAAATGAACAAGCTGAAATGTATTTCTGACGTGTAATGCAGCCTTCAAACTCGGTTGAAGTGCATTTTGACAGTTTACCTGAAATTGACAAAGGGATATTCCTACTCCCTTGACATTATCTATGGAACACATACCGTCTACAAACAATATAACAGTCCGGATGTAGGCCTGGATATCCACACAGCCTTTTAAAATGGAAATGAAACATAATTATATTGAAGAGCAACAATGCCGCGTGTCCTCAAAGTGACAAG